GATGCCAAAAATCCAAGTCTGATATGTTATATATTAGAGAGTTTATTTGCATTAATTGATATAAATGTTTTTGCTGCTCAGACCTTAGCACAAGATACAGAGCTGACCATTGCTGATGATGATCATATGGGCACATTTCTGAGAATGGAGATGTCTTCCTCCCTTGGGCTTGGATACTAGTGGAGCTGAATTGAATATGAGGTAAGAAGGTTGCAGCTGGTTAGAGGCAGAGACATGACCCTGATGAAGCGGCTTATAAAGGAGAGATATGGATCCTATCAGGATATCTGGAAAGCAGGAGAAGAGGTAGATCCAGGTGACATGGCAGTCTGGCTGTTCAGGTAAGACTTAGTCTTCTAGATAGAAAATACGCCTAGTATTCATTATACAAAATATAAACACCATAAAATCAGCAATATACTCCACTTGAAGAATATGTATACAGAAAATGTAGATTAAATCATAGTTAGACTTTCATAATTGTCATTTTTATGTTTCTTTTTTTAATCAATTCAGTTTTATAGACATAGAGTTAGTTCACAACATGTAAACACAAGAATGATTGAACTTCATTATCTATACATTCTGAGTACCAAATGAAAATAAGAAAGAACAAATTGGAAACGTGGGTGTAGAAACTGTTCCAGTTTCATTCTGAAAAAAAGTATAATGAGTATGTATAATGACATGAGTATACTAAATATATCATGAATACATCAAGATGCAACAATTTTTTATATTCTCTTTTATATGAACATTTATTATAAAAGTGCTGCAATGAAAATGCTCCTAATCATGCAGTTATGGGACATTGTGAGAATATTAACATATATAAAAATATAACTGTCTTTTGGCACCCACAACCTGATAGCCAGAGCAATAATGTATATCATATTCCTAATTATTCTAAGGAGAACTTATACTTATTGACAAATACACCATTATGTAATTGTCGATAACTCATTATCTTTCCACACACACCAATTAGACGTCGAAGAGTCTGTTGACACTGATGAATGGCATCAGACTTTTTAATGTCTGTGTAATTGCTTACAGCTATACTGCGCAGAATTATAAATCATTCTCCGCTTTTGCTCTGCTTATTTGCAAGGGATACAATAGCACCGTAACATAAAGCTAAATATTTGTTCTTATTTCTTTCAGTTGTCATGTTATTATGTAGAAAAATGTCTTTTTAAGCACCCTAAATATTGTACTCCAGTTACTTCTGTGACCATGTATTCAATTCAATTCATCATTCAAAAGTGGAAAGAGTAAGAAAATTCTAAAACTTTTGCTCAAAAGTTCACAGGATACAGCAATGTGAACATCCAGAGCAAAGAGAGCACTCTGAATACAGCACCTTCACAGTGAGACGTGGCAGGACACAGTCATGTTGTGTGGAGCTTTTTTCAGCAGGGTTAGGGAGTTCTTCAGAAGAACTGAAAGTTGGATGAGGCTAAACACATGGCAGTCCTTGAAGAAATTCTGTTGAAAGAAATTCTGAGGTAAAACACCTCAGACTATCAAGGTTCCCCTTCCGGCAGCAAAATGAACATAAATATGCAGACAGAGATAGTGTAAAATGGTTTAGAAAAGAATTGCATGACAGGAGGTATACCAGAAATTGTGAACTTTCCTGATATTAGTTCCAACTATTTGAATTTCCAGCTCTACACCAATAAGTGGGGCTGATTCGAAATGCCTCCAACTGTAGCTCCTAACTCCTGTTCCAAATTCCTGATTTTTCCGCTTTTTGCAGGGTCAACAGTAAGAACGCTATATCCAGGGTAGGACAGGAAATCTGGATTGCTGTGCTAAATCCAGAAAATATTCATCTTTACGAATGTCATTAAGTGATGGAAAAGCACATGGTTGATTACAGTCAAGTTGGGTCCACGTTCTTCAGGAAAAGAACTACAGCTAACAGCTAAAACTCTCCATTTCAAAGCCCAACTCAAAGAAAGGTGTGTTTATTTGTTTCACACAGAGTACATATCATAAAAAAATTGATTTTTGCTAAACTCTGTGAGGTAGGCATGGTCCATGTGTCCTGTCATGCAAAGGATTGCAGGCAACCTTATAGCTCCTATGCAGTGGATAGGAAATAGGGAGGCTGCTATACTGAATGAGCTATCAATAGGAAGCGCCATGCTTCTTTTTTCTAACTCATTCCTTACTTCCAGCACTATGCGGATAACACTTATTATGACAACCGCTAATGCACCTCTGCTTTAGCTTTAGTTTACTCACCAATTTGCACTGTTCAGAAGCAGGCTGGGACTGATTACCTAGGCCTGTTAAGGAGAACAGCTTGAAAGAAAACTAAGCAGGGTTTTTACTTCATGCATCTGGATCATCCACCTCTGCTATTGAACCTAATTCAACTGCGATCTCAAACCTAGCAAAGCAATGACAATTGCAACTCTTTACATGATGCAAGTCCAGTGTCATGATCTTGGCACTGATGATTGGCTTAATTGCTCATTCCATTCACCTGTCTAACTCTTCCCGGTTTATTATTACTGCTCATCTGATCCATCTGCTCCTGCCTCTATTTAAGCTGCTTGCTCCCAGTCATCAGCCAGATTATTTCTCTCCAGCCCGTAGTGAGAGCGTTTTTTTGCGTACCTTAGAGTTTCTGATTTCCTGGTCTGCCTGTCAACCACTGAGCCTGCCTGTTCCTGATCTGATCTGTTGTTCTTGTTCTCCGTCCTCCGGGGCTGCAGCATCTGGGACACTCTGGACGGCGCCCACCGCATCTTGTTAACAGCCCACTGGCAAGATCCTACCATTTTCTCTGGGCACTGACTGAACTTGGAAACCAGGTTAGTGACTCATGTTCATTAACGGGGGAGTGGCGGCCTGAGCAAGACCCTTAAAGGGGTCATAGAATGGGGGGTGCTTGCTGGACAAGACCAGGCATTCAAACGGAGCCACCAGCTCCGGGGCTGATCCGAACCCGACACGGTGACGGTATGCTTCCCCCCCATCTTCCTTACTTTATTTCTGGACGGGGCCGCAGTTGTCCAGGCTACCCTCACCGGGTCACCGGGGTTCCCGGATCAGCCCCGGAGCTGATGGCTCGGTTCTGCTGCACTGTAGTCGACCAAAATCCCGGACGATTTTAATATTTCCCCGAGACATCTTTTTAGCTATAAAAAGTAGGACATGTCCGGGAAAAAGAGGACATCTGGTCACCCTAACAATTTGATCATTCAGTTGGTGAGTGCTTGTTGCTATGATGAGTCTTTGTTCAGCAGCTTCGCTCATTGTAAACCAACCAATCAGTGCTCAGCTCATCTAAACATTCATGAGCATGCCATAAAAGAAAGAAAACCTGTTGTTTCATTTTGGGGCTTTTAACAACAGAACAGCAAATATGCCATTTTTAGCCCAAACAATGTCACACACCCTATTTAGAGTCCTTAAGGATGAGCATCAAATACCCTATATAATCATTCTGACCCCTTTAACCCCACTCTGCTGCCCGAGCCCATAAAATGGTAGCCCACTGCCTCCCATTGGGATGGGTTTAATACAGACAGTTTATTTCAATGCTCTGTACTTGTGACAGTGAAATGACAATAAAAAAACACTAGAAATAATTAAAAAAATCTTACTCCACCAGATTAACATTGTCACTAACCTGTGTTTCCTTTCTGCAGAGTTTTCTGTGATAGACGCCCTAGCCAATCCGCCAGTTCTTAATAAACGCTTTTTGAGTAATCCCACTGTCTGTCTTGCCTGATTACTGGGTCCATTGTTCTGAGTGATGACATCCAGTTTAGATGTATCTTGGTCCAAAGCTCAGTAAGAAGTCTTATACATAATTTGCAGTGAGACTTAAACACCTCTGTTTCCAGGCGCTCTCTCTCTCCAGTTTAACTAAGTTTGAGCTTTTTTGGAGAGAAGAAAAGTTGCAGTATCTACATGTTTAAAGCTGGATCTAAAATTAAGGAGAGCTGACCTAGTCTTTAGGGCACCTTTGCTGATTTCTATTTTAACAAATACATTTAAAAAATCCAAGTAAGGCTCTACTTTGTGTTGCTCTACCATATTTAAACAGAACCTTCATGTTATGTGAAAAACTTACATTAGATGTGTATGAATTCTTTTACTATAATTCAATGAAATAGTAATATCTAATGCTATATTTTTTCTCTCCTTAGAAGCGAAAATCTGTCATCTCTTAAGGAAGTTAAAACAGAAGCATCTACGATGGACAACGATTACTTTCTCCATTAGAAACAAGGAGTCTCATGTTACAAATTAGGAGACAATCTGTAACTAACATTTTACCATTTTAAAATCCACATGTGCAACATGAGCACTGAATCCTTGTGGATCACATCATACCATTTAAAAGGCAGCAATGTAAGCATGTTCCAAAGCTCATCACCCCCACAGCCTTCCCCTCGACCTCCTACTGTTATTTTTATTGTTGTTGCTACTTTGTCTCAGTGTTTATATTGTTTTACTTACAACTGCAGCTATGAATTCTATCTCTCACCTTCATCCTCTCCCTGTTGTGGCCAAAGCCTATTGTTCTTTTAGGAGTTACCACAAAGGAATATAATTGTTTTATAGATATTATGAATGATCTCGAGTGTTTGATTGATATTTTATAGGTTAGAAAATTTGTTTGTGAAGGAAACTGTGGAAACACTCAAGACACCCATGAAAACAATAAAGTATACAACAATGTAAGTTGAAAAAAGATAATGTAAATTGAAAAAGTTGCTGCAAGAAACTGTAATTTCTGATGTATTATTGACCTCTAGTGGTTGGCTTAGGAAGTGATTTGAAAATAAGCAAGGAATGTGGGATTTTGTGTTTGTTTTCAGAATAGACAGAAGTTAGCTGATTTATTCCATACAATTACTCTATGATTGAAGAAAATAAAGCTTTTATATAATACCAGCTAATTTCTCAAGAAGAGTCTTGCAGGGAGTTTTGACTCTTAAACTTAACCAACGAAATATTGTGGACGGGATCAGTGATTAATGGTTTTATTGTCAAAGCAAAGACATCCATGCTTGGCCATTGATAAAAAATGAGTTAATTATATGATTGTGAAAAGAAAACTTGCAAACAATTCCTCTTTTAATTAAACAATTTGACAGACACATAACAGAGGCAATCAAATGCAATACAAGCTTGAAATGGTTAGTAGAACTATATAGATGGGCAAAATGTGCTGTTAAAAAAAATCACATCACACTTAGACAATCAGGGATGATTGTAGCAAAGTAACTTAATTTAGACCTGTATTCAAAATATTGTTGTTGTTTTTTGTTCTCATTTTCCAGTCCTTATGGATATTCAGAAAAGCTGAGCTTAAAAGTCTTCTCATTTTTTCTTAATAGGTGCGTCATCCCTTGTCGACGGGAATATCTCAATTTCCTTGATGATTCGTTTGGCAATGGTGTCGTTGTTTGCTGAGACCATTCTTCGAGACATCAAATCGAATGGTCCTCCTAGATTTAAAACAAAGGTGTTGTTAAATAGTGCTGAGATTATCAATTAGAAATCCGCAAAATTTAAACAGCGGCTTTAGTAGAAAGCTATAAAAGTAAACATACCGTCAACATCCAGAAGGATTCCTCCAGCTTCTTGGACTATAACGGCTCCAGCTGCAATATCCCAGCAGTGGATCCCAATTTCAAAGAAGGCCTCAACTGCCCCAGTTGCCACTAGACACATGTTGGTGGCAGCTGTTCCTGACCCTCGGAGCCTTCAAGACAGAAGATAGGAAAAATAATTCTATTTACTATGAAAAGTAAAACAACAATAATTATTAGGCTAAGATCTTGGGTGAAAAAAAATGACATGTTAATGGTTATTCTAATGAAAGATATGTATATATAAGTTTGAGCGTGTGCATGTGTGTGTAATTAGGTAACGTTTAAACTAATTGGGATCATAGTTACCAGTAGTATTTTTTTTTATAAATATCTTTATATTTGTTAAACTCTAATGATTTTATTACCTCCTTTATTCAGGCTTATTACTTTAATTTAAAGATGTGAACTTCACAATATAAAAATTGAAAATAGCTGCAAAAAGCTAGATAGCTTAATCTAAATACCCTTTCGAACAAAGTTAACTTTAATTCACTTTATCAGTGTTACTTTACTACTTTAGTCAGCCCTGTTTATTGTACTTATAACCATTTAACAGATAAAAACTTAATCCCAAGTTAAGATAGACTGTTAATATTCTTTATCATGATTATTGATTAGTGTATGTGTAGCTTGTCATTTTATGTATATGACATTTAAATTCAAATTAACATCAGTTAAAAAACAAATACTTCGAAGTTCTAGTCATTGGTTTAACAAAGAAAACGCTTTTCTTCATTTTTCTTCCTGTTAAGGAAGAGTTTTCCTTCCCTCTGTCACTACATGCATGCTTGGTATAGGAGATTTCAACCCAGTTGCTACACTCACTACATGCTCATTCAGGAAAACTGAATCCAACGAGTCAATTATTGGATTTAATCTGTTTTTTCTTGCTGTATGTGTCTTGACGATTTCATTGAATTTACTCTACAAAGTTCCACAACATTAAATGTGTTGTGATGTGCTTTTATATAATTAAGCTGATTTGATTTTAGATCTGTATATGAAATGTTGGAGAACGAAAAGAGAAAAGCAAAATACACCTTGAGCGTAGTTTGATGTCTGATTAATTGAGGAAAAAGGATTGATGATACAAATTATAGATGAAACTTGAACACTTCTATGATTTTTCTTTATCATTTTGGTTTATTTTAAAGCCATGCATGGTTTACTTATTATGAACTACTAACACTGTCATAACAGGATTTAAACCATGTCATTTGTCTTTGTTTAGACTATTAAAGAAGAAAAATGCATTTGTAGTATAACATTACCCTCCATAGTTCATCTTCATTTAACTATTTTTATTTCCAAATAGGATACTGTGCACTTAGAAGCATTTGAATTTTAAAAGCTCAGAAGCATAAATGTCAAATGACTCATTTTATATCATGTACAGATATATTCATTCCTAGCCTTGATGTGTCTTAGTGTTTAGAGTTGATTTCTTGGTTTTACTGTCGTCTCTGCTAACAGAAAAACTGAAGTTTGAATAGCCCTGTTTTTAGGTCCATTGTTGTATTCCATGGAAAGTTTTACTGCGTAGCTTTACTTCATATGGTAAATGAGGGTCTTTAATGCAACGATATCAGGGAATACATGTCTTTAGATTGTAGTAAAGTACATAGACATATCCAACTTACCCATGAACTGGGATGCAGAGAATCCTTTTCATAGTGGAAAAGATTTTGGTCACTTTCTCTGGACTCCTATCAGTTCCATGCTCAGAAATGATAATAGACTTGTGGATATCTATAACAACAAAAAAACATATGGGTTTTACTTGTTGTTTGTTATGTAGAATGCAAATTGAAATATTTAAATGTGAATTATTATTTTACCTTTTACATCAGACACTTGAATGGGTTCATCGTTACAGAATGCCCCCTTTCCTTTCCTCGCTTTATACATTTTGTCCTCCAAGCAGCTGTACACCACACCAAACTCCAACTAGAAACAAACTCAATATTAAATCTCATATTAAGGATTAAGCGGTATGTTTAGTTTAAGTTTTGTTTGTACTTACTTGTTTATTCACAGCAAAGGCTATTGAAACTGCCACAAATGGGAATCTGAAAGTACAAAGCATTTTGTTATTGATAATGGGCCATTATAATGCTATAAAAGAATTAAACACTAATTTACTGTTAAAAGACAAAAATATATTGTCTTTTATCTATTTTTTTAAATTCGGTCTGGCTTGTTAAATTATATATTCTAGTGTTAAGTTAATAAAATTTAATTATTTTTTCCATCATTAAATGTATGAATTTGAGAAATGGAATTTGACCATCCCTAACCCTTTTAACTGCTTCCCACAGTTGCCTTTTTCAAACACAAAAGACAAAATTCAAGGTTTTCTTTTTTTTACTAATCATTGGCCTTCATTGAGTTTTTTTTTTTTTTGCCCTCCTTTTATAAAAAGGTAATCTGGTGAAGATATGAGTCTAAGAGCAAAGAGTTAGACTTTTTGTTAGAGTTGGAAAAATTAATGAAGTGAAAATTAAAGTTTTAAAAACTAAACATATCTCAAATGCAATTAATTGCAAAAAAGAAATACTTAGTGGTTCATTTCAACTCTTATCTCTCATGTTTTATTGCCAAGATTTGTGTTATTTTAAGCAAATAATTGCCAAATAAGAGCATTCATGCTATAAAAAAAATGCTCAACTGCCAACTTACCCGTGCACAAAGTTGGTGGTGCCATCTACTGGATCGATGATCCAAGTTGGTTTGTCAGTCAAGATGCATGGCTCACCCTTTGCAACAGACTCTTCCCCAATAAAACTGCAACACAGAGGGGGTTGACATTAAATAAAGGATCATACATTATAGCTAACAGCCGCTGTTAAACCAATATGTTTCTATGCATTGCTCACCAGTGGGTGCCTTCTCCAAATTCTTCCTTCAAAGACCCAATGATGATTTTCTCCACCCTTTCATCAGTCTTGGTGACAAGGTCCACAGTGGAGCTCTTGGTCATGACTCTTATTTCACTCTCACCAGCTTTTCGAATTTCCTAATTGTAGAAATTATTAATAGAAATGAGTTACCCATAATGCATCCCAAACTAAAACAATATGGATTATTTATTGTTGCTGCATTTGAAGAGAAGTAAGAAGGAAGAAGCTGTACCTCTCCCGCCTTTCTGGCCACTGCAACTGCAAAGTCATAAGCCCTTTGCCACGGATCCTCCATTTTATTTCTGCTACGGTTTTGTTGAGATGAGTCTGTAAAATAAAACAATAGCTGTAAAATTTCAACAACAAAAGCATCCAATAAAACAATGGCCGTGATTTGGACAAGATGCAAATAGGGTTTAATGTATGTAAAAATATGCCTGTAAAAAGAATTAATAGTGACTGAAGCTCTGAGGTGAGTCAAACATGACCACAGCATCCCCACATTCCCACCACACGGTTGGCACACCTTCATTACAGCATCACTTATTATGAAAGACTTTGCCTTTGCGTCAGAATCTGCCTGCATTGTTCTAACGTAGAACCACAAGCTAAGATTGTAACATGTGTGTTGAAATATGTTATTCCAATCTTTTTAAATTAGACCTAACAATAAAACACGGTGAAATATAAATTTGACATAGTATTCATAGCTTTATCCTATGGTCGCTGCCTTATTAGAGTTCAAATGAAAGGACAGCGACCTTAGTGACCCCGCACACGTTGATTGTGGGTGTTTCCTCTGCTAAGTGGTGGTGTAGTTTGTTTTCTGAGCCTGCATGTCCTCAGCAGGATTGGATTCGCTTAGCGTTTCAAGCTTGATCCATATTTAGATTTTATTTTTATTTTTCCCTCTGGCATCTGGGAAGGAATGCAGTCCCCAGATGCTCTTAGAAGGAACAGTCTCTGTGATTAATAATGGTCATATCAGTCTAGCAAGTCGAATTTCCTGTCCTCTCTTCTTTCATTTATAATTTGGCAACTGGTGAGTCAAACGACATTGATAATTTTGTTCTAAATATTATAAGCAATCACCATCAAATGAATTTAAAAATCTATTTCAAAGATTAAGTAACAAGATAAAAGTTTAGGTAATTTGCTGCAAGGCTTCATTTATGAACTTGCTGAACCCCCCAGAGCAGTTCATCATTTAAATTAACCTTGCTGAAATAGTGAAAGAAAAACTCACCTTGGGGAGAGGATTCGCTGCCAGGTAAGCCTTCAGGTTCTAGTGCAGCTTCTTTGGAAGCTACAAACCCTTAAATTGACTCACCCTAAAGATGAGGCAAGCCAAAAAGCTGGCATGACGAGGTGGGGAAAAGTACTAGACCCGCCCTCCAGTAGGTTTATTCTCATCGGCCCAGAGGAAAAAAACAGCTCTCTGTCCTCACAAAGGCAGGCCTGCAACAGCATGATGCCCCATTCCCTCTTAGCTGAGAGCACCTGGGGTTGAGTAAGAAAGTGGAAAAATTTCAGCGAGTGTTCCTCTAAGTAGTGGACGTGAAAAAGGAAGACACACCCGAATTCACACAATTCAATTCAGCAGCTGATATGATTGTTTATTAAATAATGAGCAGATTCCTGAAGGTTGATGTCACAACATGTTTCAGAGTGAAAAAAAATGTATATATGTTTAACCTACAAAAAGTGTTCATCCTCTTGAAATTGTCCACTTTTTAATGGGGTTTTAATATAAAAAGACCAACACAAAGTAGCCGTAGGTTATGAAGTGCATCAGCCTGATTTGTCAGTTTACCAATGACAGAGAAGCTGGTTGGACTTCATCAGGAAAACCTGTTGGTTTTAGATGATTCCATGGCTGAATGACAGCATATTAATGGATATCAATGGTCTAGTCAAAGTCCACATCCAAGCCCAATTAAAGGTTTGGGGTAGGAAATACTTTTGGCAAGTATGGATTCATCCCTTCACTATGTTCAGGTTTATGCACATCACCCTGAGCAAAATATCCAGATGATTATGATGATGGCAGTAAAATAAAGCGGTGATGATTCTCTACATCTGTAACAATCCCAGTTTCTAAACATGTAAAGCTGGCGGAGCTGCCCCAAAATTATTTCACTTGTCATTTGAATAAAAAGGTGGATCCACTTTTTAGAGGAATCCTTTTTATTTGATTATTAAAATGATCCTGTATTCTTGTCGTTTAAAATTCTGATATGACAGACTACGGTTTACATGAAAAAGTGAAAAAGAAAAAAGTTCACAGTGATCTGAGTACTTTTTTCAAGGCGCTGCATTCTGACAAATAAACCTGCTGACGGTTTTATGCATCCTGACAGCTTTCCGGCTCTGTTCCCTTTCATTGTTCCCAGGGTTGGAAAACAGTTTGAAAGGTCCCCTTGTGAGCCAATGTTGAATCTGTGTCTATTTCTCAGTGAGCCTCCAGGAAACTCTTGGCATCATTTTCACAAACCGATTTGATTTTTATACAGAGATTCTAAAATTCAGACCCTGCTTTTGTATGAATCTCAGTTCCTACAAAACAAGGAAATAACCGCAATTAAGCAAAGCAGCAACCCCACCTTTGAAGCAAGACAATAGTAATGGTTAGTCAAGGAAGGTATTTACTTAAGTTTTCTTTTTTTTCCCAAGTAGTGACATAGTTTGCATTCATAGAGTGAAATGCTTGTCTCACTTTAGTCCTCGGGGACCAGAGTCTGCTTTCTGACTCATCAGGCTTTCCCTGAAGCTGCAAACAATCAAACAAAGTCAAACTTTGCTATAGGACATGTCACTTCATTTGTTTTGAATGCTGCATGTCTGAGAACATTTATTTAGCATTTTCCTTTTGCTTTTACCAATTAATTCTGCATAGTTTTTGTGCATATGCTTTAAAACAGGAGGGAATGCATCACTGTCTGATTTTCAGTGTGTCTGAGTCAGAAAAGGCAGGACCCAACACGTTCTGACATAAGGTTTAATGCTGCCACACCTTACATTGCTCTGCTTCATGGGTGTCGCAACATGTTAAACCCATGTCTGCTGTTTTACCGTGCATGTTTTCATGGTAACGGCAGGAAAGGGCCTGCATCACACCCCTCCCACAGGACGTTCTACAGCTGATCTCTAGTTTCATTGGCAGCAAAGCTGGCAAAAAACTGCAGATCCGTCCTCGTAAACAAGACCCAGATCAACGGAAAACCCTAATGCACCGTCTGCAGCTGAAATAAACAAACTGGTGTTAGATTAAGCAGATCACTGTGGGTTATCATTGTCGAAAGTTTTGTTTGAGAGGAGAGGAGAAAAGCAGCAGGGGAGGCGGTGTCACCCTGTTGTCCCTGTTGTGCACCACATATAAGAGTCTCTGAAACGTTGAGCGGCATGCCGAGGGGAAGTGATGGGACAAGCAAAACAAATGCATCAGTCCTGCCGTCTCCGTGGCAGCTCTGTTATGAATAATTTATCCAGGATGACGGATGTTTTGGATGTTTGGTTCCCCAGGATCACAGCTTCAAAATTGAGGCACTGAAATGATGGTAGGAAACCGCTGAAGGTCAGCGGTTCACTCTGAGAGATAGTCTCAGAAACCCTGATGAGTTATTTAACACAAAGTTCCGCCGCTGATGGGACTTTCTAGAAGTTCTTCTAGGGCATAACGTGAACCTCAGCAGACTGACTTAACGAGAGTAAGGCCTTTTATTTCACCAGCCAACTCTCTGTGGGCTGCGACAGGAAAATGAAGCACTTCAAAGTGACCTCAACACTCAACAGTCAGTTGCATCAGTCCGCCAACAATCCCAATGACGGACAGTGACTGTTTCAATTTACATGATCTATTACATAACAGTCAGCAGTTACATGGTAACACAATGTTCCCGCACAACCTTAGACTTCTGCAATAAGTCTGAGCAACAATACTTAACATGTTAACCGAACAGCATTCTTGAGTAAAACAATCTTTTTGCAACACTTTTAACTATTTTTTTTTAACTACTGTTGGGAAAATGTTATATATCTTTGTGCATGATGAGCAAAAAATATTGTAATGTATATAATCCAAATACTGTTATTGGTAAATTACCAATCAGCCTTCAGTTGATGCATATAAATTATACTTGGATGCATGGATGGGTTGCCGGACCTGTTTGTGAATGAGTTATTGTGTACAAATAAGTGTGTTCAGTGTAAGGTGTGCCTATATTTGTCAATCTAGAGACGCAGAGCCGCGAGCCGTCCAACACGGATGTAGGTCAGCAAATGAAGCACAGGAGCATTCATGTTGTAACTGAAAACATTTTCTGTGTGTAAAACCAACAACAAGTACTCCTAGCAGTTTATGTACGTATGTGTACAGATGGTGTTTGTCCAGCCTTTGTGACAAAAATGAGGAGGCTGACATCTCAAACTTGAATGCAAATTAAGTGACAGTCCCTGTTTATACACACCTCATTATACAGATATTTGGCTGTTATTATTTTAGCCTCTTGTCAGCCATTTTATAAAATACCTCAATCTGCTTTTGTTTCTACTTATGGTTAAGAACATCCTACAACCTATCGAGTTGCTTTCAGCTGCCTACTTGACCGTTTCTGCTATGACTTCCTATAAATTATAGAGATCTAGATAAAAGTTAATTATTCTTAAGCTAATTAGGAGATGTGGAGAAGCAGGAGGACTCAGAAAAGCTAATGAAAATAATCTTAACAGAATTATTTTCCTGTTTAAGGTAGATAAGAAGCTCAATAACCTATGCTTCCTATATAGTGCCTAACTAAAATGTTTACACCCAGGAAAACTTTTTCTCATATTTATTTTTACTAACTCTGCAAACCTCAAAGAATTTATAGGGATTCCGTGTAATAAAGAAACATAAAGTTGCTCATTATATCAAGTGTAACTGTTAAGAATAAAAGCAACAGATTTGCAAATGCTGAATTCACATAGTTGAACTCAGCATGACTGCATTGATATTTTTAGAATCCCATTTTGCTGCAATCCCAGCTTCAAGTCTTTGATAATCGCTGACCTGGATTTTATTTTGGTGCATCATAGGGGGCAGAATAACACATTATAGATGTTTTTTTTATCTGTAGCAAGTCAATTTAACAACCAATTCTCAACTCTCACATGTGACCAAAGATGTTTCCCCTGTAAGCTCGGCCAACAACAGCATTAACAACCGCCTTTTGTTAGGTAAGACTAACTGAATGTAGATCTGCAGAATAGCACATTTTGAATCCTTGCACCTTCTCCCTCTAGCTTCGAATTGAAAAAGCTATTCGGATGCATTTTTTTGTTTTTGAGAGTTACAGTACCATGACCTGGAGCAATGAGATTCTTTAGAGTAAAGTTCAAATATTAATATTTGAGTTGCAGCATAAAAAAGGAAAAACATCTACCCTTTGAGAGTATTTTGGTAACAATCAAGCAAGTCAAATTCTAATATTTGATAGATTTTTTTTATATTGTAGTTGTAGTACACACGCACATATATATATATATATATATATATATATATATATATAGATATATATAGATATATATATAGATCTATATATATATAGATCTATATATATATAGATCTATATATATATATATATTAACGTCCTTTTTGGTGTTTGGTCATGCGTTGCGAAAATCCAGCAAAGACCCAAAACAGCACCCAGAGGTTAAATCATAATTTATTTGGTCATCCACCCCGCCAGCATTTACATATGACTTGTAACATTTATTTAAAAATGGAGTATGGAGGGGATTGTGCGTAGTTTATATAATGGCTCCAACTTTTCCACATAGATTTTAATAGTGTAAATAAAAATAAAAAAAAACTGGAATCCATATGGGTGCTAGGATGTTTTACTGATTGCCTTAATACTTCTGTGAGACACAGTTTAGACCGACATAATGCCTGACTGGTTTTGCCAGGACCAGTTGGGCTGTAATTAGTCCCATACAAGAAGGCCATTATGAGCCCAGTTCCTCTTGGTACCAGTATGAGCAATGCTGGCAGAGCCTGGCAAGTTTCAGCTAATGGCTCTTTGGATTCACTTTGTTGGTACTAAATTGGAAAGAAGAGAATTTGCTATCAATAAAGCACCAAATGGTCTAGCTTGAAGATTTAAGTCCTGACAAAGTGCTGTTTCAATCCTTGAGGGTTGTTTTTTTTAACAGAGGAATAAATCAGGGGTGGGATTAAGTAGGCAAAAAATCATTCCTCTCAAAATGGACATAGGTCTGACTAAAGATGAATAAAGAAACAGTAGGGTAAAGTATTTTCAACAATTTATTAATCTCTTAGTGTACATTAACCTCTAAAGCATGTGATCTAAATTTGAATTGTCCTAATAAAATTTCCCTCTTCTCTAGCCTCTTGTTTCAGTCACAGCCACAATAAGTAAAATCT